TATTCCATTATTTGTAAGACTTTGATAAAGATTATCAATTATTCATTAAATGTTTGGTAGGATTCACCATGCAACCATGTATGTTGTCTTGGGCTTTTCTCTGCTGGAAGATTTTTGATTCCTAGTTCAACTTTCATTCTTACTATTGGTCTAAGAAGATTTCCTACTTTCTAGATACAAGATTCATGATTCAATCATGGTAACGTGTGTTTTTTAGGAATCATCTGGGGTTTTTTCCCAAGTTATCAAGTTAGTATTTAATTGGTTATATTAGCCTGTTATCACACTATTTCTGTGGTTATCTGTTTTCTCTCCCATTTCTCATTTTGGTTTTTGAATCTTTTTCTTAGTTAATGTAGTTAAAGCATTGCCAATTTTGTTTATTTTTTTGGAAAGACTGGTCATTAATTTCAACGTTATGTTATTTTTTATTCTGGTCCCTATTTTATTTCTGACTTTTGTTATTTCCTTCCTCTACTAAATCTCAGTTAAGTTTCTTCTTTTTCTAGTTCCTTTTAATGTAGTGCAGTTTATTTGAACTTCGTTTCTTATGCAAACATCTATAGCATAAATTTCACTCTAACATCTGCTTTTGGTGCATCCCATAGGTTTTGGAATACTGTGTTTTCTTTTTTCTTTTGTTTTGAGACAGATTTTGATTTGTCATTTAATTTCTTATTCAGTTATTTTCCAATTTGTTGGTTAATTTCTTATGTGGCACATTGTGCAGTAGTGTGTTGTTTAATTTTTATGTATTAAATAACATTTACAGTATAGATTTTTCTAGTTTTATTTTATTGTTAATCTTTATTTTGTACCACTATATTTGGAAAATATACTTGGTATGATTTCAGTGTTCTTAAATTTGTAATATTTGTTGTATCTTTTTAAATGTGATTTAACCAGGGGATTCGTCTCTATGTATTTGAAGAAAATGTGAACTCTATTTTTCTTGGATCGAATGTATATATCTTTTAGAACTATGTACTCTAAGCATGCTTCCAGTAAAAATGTTCTTGTTGAGAAAAAAACCTTTAACAGAGGGTACTACTTCAAAATAAAGCATATCAAAGGGGAAGTGGTTGGGAATTAGTGAACTAGGTGATAGGAATTAAACAGTACACTTATCACGATGAGCACTGAATAATGTATAGAATTGTTGAATCACTATATTATACACCTGAAAGTAATATAACACTGTATGTTTACTGGATTTAAAATTTTAAAACTTAATAAAAATATGTTTGGGGGATCCCTGGGTGGCGCAGCGGTTTGGCGCCTGCCTTTGGCCCAGGGCGCGATCCTGGAGACCCGGGATCGAATCCCACGTCGGGCTCCCGGTGCATGGAGCCTGCTTCTCCCTCTGCCTGTGTCTCTGCCTCTCTCTCTCTCATTCAATGTGACTATCATAAATAAATAAATAAAAATTTAAAAAAAAAAAATATGTTTGGAATTGAAAAAATGCACCTCTAAATGACCAGTGCACACACACACTCCATGTATGTGTATATGTGTGTATTCATTGGCTCCCATAAATTTGAAAATACAGAAACTGCACTTTTAAAATTTAAATTCCAGTTAGTTAACACATGCGTACTATTAGTTTCAAGTACAATTTAATGACTCAACACCTACATATGACACCCAGTGGTCATCACAAGTGTCCTCTTTAATCTCTATCACCTATTTCACCCATCCTCCCACCCCCACCCTTCCAGGAACCCTCAGTTTGTTCTCTATAGTTCGGAGTCTGTTTCTTGATTTGCCTCTCTCTCTTCCCTGCCCCCCCCCCAATAATCGTTTGCTTTGTTTCTTAAATTCCACAAATGGTATTTGTCTTTCTGTGACTAGCTTAGTTTGCTTAGCATGATGCTCTCTAGCTCCATCCACGTCATTGCACGTGGTAAGATTTCATTCTTTTTGATGGCTGAGAATATTTCATTGTGTAATATATATACACCACACCTTCTTTATCCCTTCATCAGTCGATGGATACCTGGGCTGCTTCCACAATTTGGCTATCGTTGATAATGCTGCTATAAACAATGGGGTGCATGTATCCCTTCAAATTAGTATTTTTGTATCCTTTGGGTAAATACCTAGTAGCACAATTGTTAGATTGTAGGGTAGTTCTATTTTCAATTTTTTGAGGAATCTTTGTACTGTTTTCCACAATGGCTGATGGCTGCACTGATTTGCATTCCCACCAATAGTGAAAAATGGACAATTTTAAATATAACTTTAAAAACTGTGTTAAGGTAATACTGTGATTTTGTAAGATAATACAGGTGAATGTCATCATGATCTTTGGATAGAGGAATTTGTAGTATTTTCACAGAATGGAATACTCTACAGCAAGTAGAACGAACAAACTACAATGCATGGAACAATATGAATGAATGTTGCATAATTCTGAGTGATAAGAACTAGACACAAAAGAGTACATACTGTGTGATCCTATTTCTATAAAGCACAAAAGCTGGCAAAATCTATCCTGTCACCAGTTAGTGGTTTCCCAGACTAGAACTGGGCACAAGGCCAGTTAGGGTGTTAGTGATAGTGACTTCTGGTTACATGGGCAGGTCCACTTTTTGAAAATTCATTGAATTTTACACTTGTGATATGGATTTTTCTATATATGTATGTTTTACTCCAAATAAGGTTTATTTTTGAAAAAAATGAAGATACAGATATCCTGAATAGACCTATAATAGCTAAAGCAAATTAAGCTAGTATTTGAAAATCCACCTATTAAGGACAAACATTCCAGTAGCAGATGGTTTTTCTGTTTAATTCTAACAAACCTTCAAGAAACAAGTTATTAGTATAGTATACAAACTGCCAGAGAACAGCATTTAACTGTAAAGCCATATATGTACTGTTATTACTGTATATTATTATACTGTACATTGTCATAACTGTATATTATTATATAAGTTATTACTATATAACACCATTACTGTTATTACTACAAAGGACAGAATGCGGATAAACAGAAGAAATTACAAGGAGAAAAGCAGATTTACATTATCAGAGGCAGCATAATGTAGTAGTGACAGTGAGACTCTGAGAGCCAGCCTGCCTAACCTCAGACCACGGCTCTGCCCTCTGTAGGCGATATGACTGAAGCAGATTATTTAACCCCTGTATGTTGTTCTCCATTCTGTAAAATGGGGGTAATACTAGTGCTTACCTCACAGGGCTATATAAAGATTATATGATCGATTATTTGCAAAGCACTTAGAATGGTAGCTGGTACGTAACAAACACTATACATTTGTATAGCAAATCAAACAAATCTGGTGGGTTAAAGAGCCTGCCTTGTAAAGCAGTAAGCTCTTCAGGGGCTCATGCAAAGACTGGAAAAATACCAGTTTGGGGTCTAGCAATCTTCTCAAACTTCAGCATGCATTCGGATCACATTGGAAATCTTGCTAAAATGCATGTTCTGAGTCATAAACCCTGGGTGGAACCTGAAATTCTTTATTTCTAAGAGAGGGTGTCGGTGCTGTGGGGCTCCTGTGGACTACAGCTTGAGGAGTAGAGATCTAGGCCTTTCCATATGACTATATATACATCATGGTTTCAAAGATGCTTAGTTCTTATTTCTGATTATCAACTGGCAGTTGATTCTAAATTCTAAATATATTTCTCTTTCAAAACCAACTTTCATCACCTCAATTAACTAATAATAATTTAAACACTAAAAGGATTATAAATTTATAGGAAGCTTGGGATGACTCTTTACACAAATGTGTATCTTCTCATAATGTAGTAATTATATGTGCGCTCTCTCTCTCTCTTTTTTTTTTAATTCAGCTATCTTTTGGGTTTTCTTAAAGAAAAAACACTTATCACAAGAAATGTGAACAGTGAAATACAGCAGAGGCAGTTCCTGTGTCATTTTGGAATTCACAGTAGAGTCTATATTTGATATGATAAAGAAGATGTCACTTTAGATCTCCAGTAGGGAAGTGACAGAAGGAAAAGCTCCTGTGAGGGCAGGATAAATGACAAAGAAGGAAAATGTCAGGCTTGAAGTAAAAAGAAAAAATAAAGAACAATCTTTTTTTTAAACTTTGAAGGTATGGTTCTGAGATGTGAAAGAGGTTAAAGAGTAGGACTAACATTGAGCACCATATTAATTCAACATGCTGAATAGGCAAATGAGACTTTGGTGTATCAGAGAACCTGGTGAAGCATACTTCTGTGCATCCCCCTGGACCTCAGGTTCTAAAGACTGTTAACATGTGATCCAGAATGGAAACTGAAGAATGGCTTCGTGCTTGGCGCTTTTTGACATTGTGGGAAATTCTGGATGATTTGGTCTGAGTTATATCCCATGCTTTCTTTCCTTTAGGGAATCCTCAGTAATGATGATTGACTTAAAGCCAAAGGGAGGGATCCCTGGGTGGCACAGCGGTTTAGCGCCTGCCTTTGGCCCAGGGCGCGATCCTGGAGACCCGGGATCGAATCCCACATCGGGCTCCCGGTGCATGGAGCCTGCTTCTCCCTCTGCCTGTGTCTCTGCCTCTCTCTCTCTCTCTCTCTCTCTGTGACTATCATAAAGAAATAAAAAAAATTAAAAAAAAAAAAAAAAGCCAAAGGGAACCCGCAGAGTTTCCTGGGGACTGGATGCACATAGGCAGCAACTCTGGGACTGTCCTGTGCAGTGTGTCTGAGGGCTTTGGCCATAGAGTGGCTCATGAACATACAACATAAAGCTATTCATACTAATTTCTGCTGTTCCTGCGGCCCACTTTGCAAATGCTCCCAGATCTGATAGAGCCAATGAGTAAGGAAGCAGTGGATAGGACATTTTATTCTTCTATTATTCTACTGTTTGAAGTCAACACGGAAAGTTCTAGGCTATATATTTTGCTTTAAAAAGAAGAATATAGGAGAAGTGAGGGAAAGATGAGACTAGGCATTCAAAGTATATAATGCTACAGTTTTCTTTAAACTTGTGCTATTTTAAATTATTTTAGTATTTTACTCACCACCACTGCACAGAGATTGTATTTAGGGTGTTTCCGAAAAACTGGACAAATGTAAGGAGTAAGGTCCAAGTTGGTGAGTGGGTAATGAATATCTGTTCTCAGTTTCCTTTTCATTGTACCCAGAATGTCAAATCTGGAGAGAGGATAAATGTACGAAACATAAAGTAAGTTTGTAAACCATTCATGAATGAAGTCTACATACCTTGGTAAATTCCAATACAGTTAAAAATAATTTCTTGGAAAAATAATTTGGCACAGACCTGTACATAAATTTTTTTCTTATCTATGTGTATTTATAATCTCCACATCCACATGTGTCAGCTGAACTGAGACTCGTTATGCCAGAGGTGTGAGTCAGGAGGTGAGACAGTACAGAGTCAATCCAGGGAGAGGAGAAGATGGGGACAAAGCCAGGTTTGGCATCAAGGAGTAGAAAACACATTGATTGACTCAGCTTTTCCTTATCTTGACTTTAGCATGTGTCGTTTCAGCAGTGTCTCATTTTCCAACTCTCAGGTTTTTATATATCTTTAAAAAGATAAAATTTTCCAAAAATCTTGTCCCATTCTCTATTTGTTATATAGATCAACAATTCCAAAATCTGAATTCCTATCAGAATCACCCTGGAGCTTTTTAAAAAATAAATTATGATGGTGCCTGGGTGGCTCAGTTAGGCACCCAACTCTTGATTTCTGCTCAGATGGTGATCTCGGGGTCAGGAGATCAAGCCCTACATTGGGCTCTGAGCTGGGCATGGAACCTGTGTAAGATTCTCTCTCTCCCTCTGCTCCTCTTGTCCCCCTCTAAATACATAAATTAAGTAAAAAAGTTCACTTTGGAAAAATGGCTGAATGGCTGATTTAGGTCTGGGGCAGGGAAATTACTGTGTGAACCTGAGATATCCTCATGCTTTCAGCAAGACACCTTGTTTGCAAAAACTAAGGGAGTACCTACCATCTGACCCAACAATCCTGTGCCTACATATCATAGCAAAAGAAATGAAGATTTATACCCACATAAAAACCTATATGCTAATGTTTATAGCAGCTGAATTCATATCTGCCACAAATTGGAATCAACCCAAATATTCATCAACTCATGAATGGATAAACAATTGTGGTATAAGGAGTGCCTGGCTGGCTCAGTTGGTAATCCATGCAACCTCTGATGCCAGGGTCATGAGTTCAAGCCTCACAATGGGTGTGGAGCCTACTTAATTAAAAAAAAAAAAACACCCATAAGAGTGGTATATTCATGAAAGGGAATACTACATAGCAATAAAAAGGAAAGAACCAGTAACTCACTAACAACATGAATTAATCTCAGAAACACTATGCTAAGTGAAAGAAGCCAAACTAAAAACAAAACAAAACAAAAAAAACTGCACATGGCATACATAACATAGGATATTCTGGGAAAGGCAGAACTATAAAGACAGGAAATCAGATCAAACCTTTCCAGGGACTGAGTGTGGGAGAAGGGGTGGATGATGAGAAAGCATGAGAAAACTTTTTGGGGTGATGGACAGAGTTCTATGTTGGCTCTGCTGGCTACATGACCATGCATTTGTCAAAATTCATAGGACTACACACTTAAAAAAAGGATACATTTTATACTTGCAATTATACTTTAATAAATCTGTATTAACTAACTAATGGGCTCAGAGAAGCAGGCTTAAAGGGGTTACCACTGGCCAATTTTGAGTAATTTAAGCATAAAGAAGGATGATGATAGTAATGGATATTAGGCACATTAATTTTTAAAATATCCATGAGTTGGGGCACATGGGTGGCTCAGTGGTTGAGCATCATTGGCTCATCATGATCCTGGGGTCCTGGGATTGAGTCCTGAATAAGGTTCCTCACAGGGAGCCTGCTTCTCTCTCTGCCTCTGTCTCTGCCTCTCTCTGTCTCTCATGAATAAATAAATTTAAAAAAAAAATCCAGATTCATGTTAATTATAGAGGGGAAACTATACTTATAAATGGTGGGATCTTCTAGTCACTATCTTAATTAACTATGGCATCAAACTTAACATCACCAAGAGTGGGACAAACTTTTATGATGTGCCTCCTGATATAATGTGGTGACAAATAAAAGAACATCACCTAGTCTGCATTTCCACTAAAAAAAAAAGTTTATACTGAATCTCACCATGGGGAAGCAATTAGATAAATACAGAATGGGGCATATAATATAAACAATGGACTCCCCAAGGACTTTTTTAAAAAGATTTTATTTATTTATTCATGAAAGAGAGAGAGAGAGGCAGAGACACAGGCAGAGGGAGAAGCAGGCTCCATGCCGGGAGCCCGATACGGAACTTGATCCTGGGACTCCAGGACCATGCCCCGGGCCAAAGGCAGGCGCTGAACTGCTGAGCCACCCAGGGATCCCCACCAAGGACTTTTTTAATGAGAAAAAAAAAGTTTAAATATATAAAAAGGTAGAAGGATTATCCTAGATTAAGAGACTAAAGAAACAGCCAGGAGCACCTGGCTGACTCTGTTGGTTGAGTGTCTGCCTTCAGCTCAGGTCATGATCCCAGAGTCCTGGGATCAAGCCCCACATAGGGCTCCCTGCTGAGTAGGGAACCTGCTTCTCCCTCTCCCTCTGCCCCTGCTTGTGCTCTTTCTCTCAAATAAGTAAAATCTTTAGAAAAAATAAAGAGACAGCCACGTGCAGTATATGACCCTGGACTGGATGCTGGATTAGAAGTTACAAAAGGCATTTTGGAGATGAAAAATTTAGATATAGATTGTATGTTAGGTGATGGGAAATCGCTGTTACATTTCTTGAGCATGATAATGGTGTTGTGATTATGTCAAAGAATGTCCTCATTCTCAGGTGATATACACTTAAGTACTTAAGCAGGAAATGCCATGGGGTTTGCTTCTTATTTCAGAATTCAGCTAATAAAATGGAAGGGATGAAGGAAAGAAGAGGGAGGTAGAGGAAAGAAAGAAGAAAGAAAGAAAGAAAGAAAGAAAGAAAGAAAGAAAGAAAGAAAGAAAGAAAGAAAGAGAAAGAAAGAAAGAGAAAGAAAGAAAGAAAGAAAGAAAGAAAGAAAGAAAGAAAGAAAGAAAGAAAGAAAGAAAGAAAGAAAGAAAGAAAAGAAGGAAATGGGGCAATGTCACCAATATTAATGAAGATCCTAGGGCATTATATATTCTTAGAATTTTTCTGTAGATTTGAAACTTTTTATAATAAAAATGAGGTGGGATTAAAAAATTAAAATCATGATGTTTAGAATCCACCTCAGACCTGTGGAATAAGAATTCCCAAAGGTGAGGCCAGGGAATTTATTTTTTTAAAAGTCCTCATTGTGAGTGCCAAATGTCTATCAACAGACAAATAAACAAGCAAAATATGATGCAGACACAATGGGATATTATTCAGCTATAGAAAGAAATGAACTTCCAGTACATACCACAACATGGATGAACCTTGAAAACATATTCTAAGTGAAATAGGTCAGCAAAAAGGACAAACATTGTATGATTCCATGTACATGAAGTACCTAGAACAGGCGAGTTTATAGGCACAGAAAGCAGAATTTTTGAATCACTATATTGTACACCTGAACCTAATCTAACACTGTTAGAGTTCAATAAAAAGGTTAAAAGCATGGATTTTATGTTACCTGTGTTTTATCACAAATTTTTAAAAACTAATGTAATATACTGAATACCATTGAAGTGTACACTGTACTTTTAAGTCTTTCTTTTAGAGAGAGCATGTGCACAAGCAGCAGGGGCAGAAGGAGAGGGAGAGAGACTCTCAAGCAGACTCCTCAGTGAGCTCAGAGCCTGAAACAAGAGCTCAGTCTCGCAATCCTGACATCAAGACATGAGTGGAAACCAAGAATCGGACACTTACCCAACTGAGCCACCCCGGCGCCCCTGAATTGTACACTTTAAATGGGTGAATTGCACGATCTGTGAATTCTATCTCGAGAAAGCCATTAAAAAAATCTCAGAAAACATCAAAATCCATACCTTTTTAAATGAAAGATAATTATTTTTGGTGCTTTGGAAATACTGGCCCTTACAGCTGTTTCTTGCTTGGTTTCACAGAAAGAACAGTGAATTTGGTTATTCCAGGTCAGTGTGTCTTGTTGAAAAAAACACTGGAGACAGTCCTATGGAGGTAAAAAAGCATTTGGGACTACTTTGGATCAACTGCAGCCCAGCCTGTTTACAGTAGCACTTTGCAACAGTTGTGGAAATGTGATCTTCAGTGCTTTCCCCAAAGTCAACACATCCAGGAGGCCCTGTGTCATGAGCTGTTGCCTGGACAGGTTTAAAACCTACCTGACAAAAGGAGGTGCATCTCTCTCACTTAGTTACTGAAATGGATCCAAGTGCCCATCTCACTTCCAATCTCTGGATCAGCATTTTAACATTTCTGGTTTATTTCAGAATAATATTGACTGTGCAGTTTCGACTAACCAAGTCAGGCAGCTGTTTTAGGTTATTTGTCTCATCACAAAAGTGATCCAGAAACTGAAAATGACCATGTCCCGTGTTTTGAGGTGACCCAAAATGAAGACAGCAGAACAGAACTTGATCCCATGCCCCCAGAAGCCATCCTGAATGTAGCCAGCCCCCCGCTCTGCAAACCATTAACCCAAAGAGAAAGATGAGTGCAGACTGTGTGTTTCAGTACACACGCCAGTGCCTCATTTAGTGTCTTTGGATTTTGTTTCCAATCTTCTTCAGCAATTCCATCTGAGAATTAAGCCTACTTCTACATAAGTAGTAGGATTCTGTTCTCCAATTCTGGTATGGGAAAACTTATAGCAGCAGATGTATCTTCACAATTTAGGTAGAAAAATATAAATATGTATTATTCTTCAAGGATACTTCTTGCTCCCTGCCTTCTAGCTGTCCCCTGCCTTCTACCGCTACCTGGATTTACAGATTAATTTTTGGTATTATGGTGAGGAAAATTCAAGAGGTAAATTCCCTGTATGCACCAGGCCATCTTAAATAGAATGAACAAATCCCACCAGTCATTTCAATTTTACAGTGAGGCTGTTTTAACAATTACATTTAGAAATACAACTGAATTCACAGTAACTTTTGACTATACGTTGCTTTTCTACAAAATATAGTCATCATGGGCTTCCAATTTGTTTTAAGTTATAGAACACCCCCCTCATAATAGACAATGTAGGAAGCAGCCCTGAGATGGTATCCAGGAGCAAGAATCCCTACCTGAAGAGAGCACTCATATTCGGATGGAATGGGGAGAGAGAGGACGGTGAAGACTTCATTCTTGTAGGTACAGTTCTCACACTTCAAACACATGATGCTGTAGTTGAGCTGCCCTTCAAACAGCTGTGTGATGATGGAGGACTCATTGGCAATCACCTTCCTGCAGCATCTGGGAACAGATCCTTTTTCATATGATCTTTTTCGATGGTACTGAATCAAGGAACAAATTGGCCCCAAATCAACAATTGGTTATCAAAAGAAAGCTTTTAACAGAATGACTTGATTTTTTTTTTTCGATCAGAATGATACACTGCTACTGGAAACCAATTAATTTTGGATTCAGACAATACACAGGTAAGGTCTTCTTAAGTGTACATGTTATGTGGGGCAACTGGGTGGCTCAGTCAGTTGAGTGTTGGGCTCTTGATTTCCGCTCAGGTCATGATCCCAGGGCTTTGAGATCGAGCCCCGTGTGGAGCTCCAGTGAGGCTCCCCAGCCAGCCTTGCATGGAGCTCTGAGCCCATCAGGGAGTCAGCTTAAGATTCTCTGCCCTCCTTGTGCTCTCTCTCTCTAAATAAGTAAATCCCTTTTTAAGAAAAGTATATATTAGGATTGATTTCTGATAATTCAGTTATTTTCCTCCTTAAGCAAAGCTGAGGAATGATGACACACTAAGGCTGGTAAAACACATGTCCGTGCCCAGAAGCAGAGAGCTTATGATCATATGATACAGGGTCCTAGAGGCAGTTCTTCTTGGGAAGAGGACAAGTAAGCTTTTGAACTAGCTTTCAGTCATGCAAACTGATGGAGGAGATAAATGAAATCTGTCCTCCCTCCAGCCCCTCCAGATTTAGCATCTTCTACTTCTATTGTTAGAAAACACTTTTTGGGGGCACCTCAGTGGCTCAGTGGTTGGGCGTCTGCCTTTGACTCGGGTTGTGGTCCCCGGGTCCTGGGATTGAGTCCCACATTGGGCTCCCCGCAGGGAGCCTGCTTCTCCCTCTGCCTATGTCTCTGCCCTCTCTGTGTATCTCTCATGAATAATAAATAAAATCTTTAAAACAAACTTCTTTAAAAGAGCAAATCTTAAATTGCTAAGGCAGCTCAATTTAGCCTTGTAGCCTGATTTGATCTAGCTCATATTGAGGAATACCCTTTCTGGGAGCAGTTTGGTGCTTTTCAGTGGTTGAACAGCCTCACTAGACATTCAAAAGACAGCTCCACAGACAGCTCCACTTTGGAGCTGTGCTCACTGCTACCCTTCGCCTTGCTTCTTTCGTCATGCCCTACTACCGAGGTTTTCCACCTGATGGTAACTTGATGGCCCTAATGCCAACTTTAGTCTTGGGAATGAGAATGCTATTTATTTCAGATTGGGTGCATATGAAGACCTAAGGGATTTTACTGGCCACCACCCTAACTTCCGGCTTAAAAAAAAAAAAGTGCTGCCATGAATATCTTATTATCAGTAAAAATGAAAAATGGAATCACAGGAATGGAAAATGAAATCTGAGGATCAGGGATGAGAGTCATCAATGCCTCTCATCTGCATCATTTACTGAAATATTTCCTGATGGTAAGTATAAGGTAAGCTAACGTTGGCACAGCGACACTACATAAAACCACGGATCTCTTTTTGGTGAGTATGTGTCTCAGATCAAGACTGAAGGCAACGAGTCTTACAAAGAAAAGTAACACCCTTCCTAAATGGCAATCTCATGTTTTATTAAGTGTTATGTCCTGATCCAGTGAAGAACTCAAGTTCAGAATGTTTAGCACGAAGATGAAACTTTGCAGTATTGAGGTCTGTCCTTTAACCTGGAGCTTCCTATTTTCTTGGGTCTGTAGTTGCCATGAACATGTATTCTAGGTTGTAAAGTTCTATATGTTATTATCTCATGAGGAGTATATTTTTATTTAAAAATATGTGATTTTCACTTAAAAAACAACTAGTCTGTGCAGATGTTATTTGCAAAGGGAACAGATTAGTGTTTCCCACACCTGTTGATCACTGGAAACACCACGTGAGCTTTCCCAAGGGACAGCCCAGGACAATCTAGTTCAGTAACACAGGAGTGAGGGTCTTAGAATTTGTGTTGTAAAACTCTTCTCGGGTGATTCTGAAGATGAGCTAAGCTTGGTAAATACAGACCAATTCAAATAGTGACTTGAGGGACACCTGGGTGGCTCAGCGGTTGAGTGTTTGCCTTCAGCCCAGGGCATGACCCTGGAGTCTCGGGATCGAGTCCTGCATTGGGCTCCCTGCATGGAGCCTGCTTCTCCCTCTGCTCATGAATAAATAAATAAAATCTTTATAACAAAAACAAATAGTGACTTGAATGTGCCCCATGGTACCCCCCAGCACCTGTGCTCTGCACAGAGTGGGCAATAATGACAGAACAGATGAAAGAATTAAAAGTAAAAGTTGGGGCAGCCCTGGTGGCTCCGCAGTTTAGCACCGCCTTCGGCCCAGGGCCTGATCCTGGAGATCGGGGATCGAGCCCCACGACGGGCTCCCTGCATGGAGCCTGCTTCTCCCTCTGCCTCTGACTCTCCGTGTCTCTCATGAATGAATGAATAAATAAAATAAAATAATAAAAGAAAAGAAAAGAAAAGAAAAGAAAGAGAAAAGTAAAAGTTGCTGACAGAGCCGAAGGTCTATCTTATTTCAAGGCCATTAATCCTACTCACTTTTTTCAGAGCTTCATGAAGTTCATTCAGGACATAAATCAAGAATTCCTGAGCATCCTGTTGTGTCTTTTTCATAAACGCTGGGTAGAGGTTGCCAAGAGCTGACCGAAATACTTCTGGGGAGACACATTCTGAGTCTCCAAGCCACATGTCTGTCATCACATAGGCGAAAGCAGTGGCGACCTCACGGCAATCCCTTGGAAGAGGGGCAGAGAATGTTCCCGGCCGACTTAATGGAAAGGAAGGCACCTACAAGCTCAAGCAGGGGGCAGCACACCAAACCCCACGCCCGTCTGTTGGCCGAGCTCCCCGCGTGTTCTTCACTCTGGAAGTGGCGCCTGGGGCTCTGGGGCTCTGGGGCTCTGGGGCTCTCGCTCGGCCTGAGGCGGGGCTCGAGAGGGCTCCCTCCCGAAGCTCACCTGGGAGGTCGGGGCGGGGGTGGGGGGCTAGGGAGTGGGGGCTGCGCCGCAGGGAACACAGCCGGCCTTACTTTCGAAGAGCCGTGATGTACTTCCCGGAGACGAAGTATTCCACCAGCGGCGAAACGCTGCACAGACACTGCAAGATGGCGTTCATGTAGCACGTGTTGCCCAGGTTGCGCAGGCCCGGCACCCCCTGGCGGCGCGGCGGGCTCGCTCGCAGCTCGGCCAGCGCAGGGGCGTCTGGGTGATCCGTGCACTCTGCGCTGCGCAGGCGCGGCGGGCAAAGAAGGGAAAGCGTCCTGAGGGACCCGACGGAGGGCGGCCGGGGCGGAGCGCTCGGACCCCCGCCTCTCTCCCCGCCAAGGACCGAGGGCGCCCGCCCGCTCCGGGTCTGACCTGCGCGACTTCCTCCCGAACTCCGAATGGCGCCTGCCGCCCACTAAGCAGAAGTCAGAGTTTCTTCCCGAAACCACAGCAAGAGGCCTGAGAATATTGGCCTTGCAGAGACCTAGAATCGCATTGGCTAAAAATGCGAACTTTCCCTCAGAGTTCCAAAGTTTTAGGCACCTGGGTGACTCAGTCGGTCAAGTATCCGACCCTTGATGTCGACTCAGGTCATCCTTTGGGGGTCCTGAGATGAATATAGACGCGTAGGTGCACATACCTGTAGCCGTCTGTCGTAGGCTGAGGGTCACTTCCAACACACTTTAAAACCACTACGTCTTAATTCATTCCTTCCACGTTTTATATTCCCTTTTTTTTTTTTTTTTTTTTTGGTTTGGTTTTATTTATTTTGGGTGAGAGCATGTGCCAGAGTAGAGGGAGGGGCAGAGAGAGAGAGAATCTTCTAGCAGCTTCCCGGCTGAGTGTTAAGCTTGGGCAAGGCTCCATCTCACAACCCCATTTAATTCTTTCAACAAGGGACACCTGAGTGACTCGGTGGTTGAGCAGCTGCCTTTGGCTCAGGTTGTGATCCCGGGGTCCTGGGATCGAGGCCTGCATGAGGCTCCCTGCATGGAGCCTGCTTCTGTGTCTCTGCCTCTCTCTCTCTCTCTGTCTCTCATGAATAAATAAATAAAATCTTAAAATAATTCTTTCAACAATTCTATGGGGTAGGTATAGTTATTTTTAAATCTTGTTTTACAGAGGAACTATTACATTTAAATGGTTTTGTTGTTTGCCTATTATATATATATATAATATGTACATATATATGTACAGTGGAGTGTGGAGATATATATACAATATGTACAGTGGAATGTGGAGAGAAGGAATATCTACCTATGTACCTACCTACTGAGTTATTTGGATTTATATATCATGTAATAACTAACAGTGTGTGTGTATACACACACATATATATGGCATCTTCCCTTCTCTTTGGGGGACCCCCACTGGGTCAAACCTGAGGGAACCCTTCCAAATGTGGCATGTACCCGCCACTCCTTTGGTATGGTATCCTCCACCGCCCAACTGAACTTCTTATAAAAGCTATAGTAGAGAGTGGCTCACAGGACATAGTAGATGCTGAAGTCATCTGCAGGGAGGGGCCGCTGCGAAGTCATTTTAGTGAAACCACGTTGGACTTCTACTCAGGAGCTACATTTAATCCTTTTAACTTCATTTCTCAAAGCCTGTTACCTTGGCTCTTTATGTTTGTAATAAACTATATGGTTCTCTCCCCTTTCAGTAGCTGCAAACTGATTTTTAAATATACTTCAGGTACATTCCAACTTGGATTTCCCATGCATCATAATCATTTCCATTCATCCTCAAGATTCTAGCTTGTTGCCACGAGATACCTTGCCTGCTTAAAAACCATAAAAGTATTAGATTTCAGGGGTGCCTGGGTGGCTCAGTCATTTAAGTATCTGACTCTTGGTTTCGGCTCAGGTCATGATCTCAGGGTTGTGAGATCCAGCCCTGCATTGCTTGGACATGAGGCTGCTTAAGATTCTCTCTCTCCCTCTCCCTCTGTTCCTCTCCAACCCCCTTCTAAAAAAAAATTAGATTTCAGAGGATGAACTGAACATATAACCTCTCTTCCTCCATCACTCAGTTTCTCTTGAATATAAATATATATATATATATATATCACACACCTACACAGAAGATTTACCTCCGCATAGTCCACTATGGCAACCCTGCCCCCTTTGGGCCCCCATCCCCACTCCCAGGGACTATCCAACTCCTAGGATCCCAAGGGAATATTTCTCACTCTGGGATGGGAGGCAGTTGGATTTTGCTGCTTTGAAAAATGCATAGCATTGGAATAGACTGTAGTCTTTCTCTTCATGGTCACCAACTATAGTCCAAAGAGAGTGTAGACACACACACACACACACACACACACACACACACACACACACACACCATTAGAGCCAATCCAATTTCTCTTTTCCCAGCTCTGCAGTAAGTAAAATAAACGAGGTTATAAAAGAAGAAACTCTTCAAAAATATAAATGTCAGGAAAGATAAAGAAGGCTGAGAATCATTTCAGATTAAAAGATAAACTGGAGGGGTGCCTGGGTGGTTCAGTTGACTGAGCATCTGACTCAAGTCACCATCTCAGGGTCCTGAGATTGAGCCCTGCATCAGGCTCTATGCTGAGCGTGAAGCCTGCTTGAGATTCTCTCTTTCCCTCTCCCTCTGCCTCTCCCCATCCCACACTTGTGTGAGCACTTGCATGCTCTCTCTCTCTCCGTCTCTCAAGAAAAAAACAAACTGGAGAAACAAGACACTTAAAATACTCAATCCTGGCTAGGATCCTGGATCAGGAAAGAAATTGCTATAAAAGGACATTATTGGAACAATAGATAAAATCTGAATAGGATTATATGTGAATAGTTTTGTATCAATGTTGAATCTTCTGAATTTTATAAGATGATATCCTGTTTATGAAACAAAATGTCCTTGTTCCTAGGAAATACACACTGAGGGATTTTAGGGGTAAAGAAGCCTGATATGTGCAAACTGCTCTGAAATGGTTCAGAGAAACGCACAGAGACACAGACACACATGAGGAAAGGAGGGAAGGGGATAAAGTGACAAAGCAAAGATGAAGCAAATGTAGCCAGATGGCAGCAATGGGTGAATCTGGGTGATGGTAAACTGGAGCCCTTTGTACAATTCTTGCAATTCTTCTCTAAGTTTGAAATTATCTCAACCCAAAACTTTCAAAAAAACAAGAATGTAGAATATATGATTTTAATATGGATTTATCTCCAAGATATATTACTGGTGAGCCAAAAAAGCAAGGTTCTGAAGAGTCCATCTACGGCATACACCCCGTTTATTTCCAAATGTATTTATGTTCATGCTCCACAAAAACATTAAGAAAGATCATTCTTTGATGCCTGTATGAGGGATCCTGGCAACTAGAGGTTCTAGTCTTACAGCTATTTTATATTTGTGGTCTATATACAAAGGGGCTTCATGAAGTCCCCTCGGTGGTGATTCTGCTCAGTCAGTGAACTTCTCCCAAATACTTCAGTTCTTCTTCATCAGTAGAGTCTTGCTAAAATTTCATTTTATGATTGATGCTCATCGGTAAAAACAGAACTCATATTCATATGTTGATATTATAATCCAGGGACCTTTCTAAACTCAAATTCTAATTTTTATAAAGGTTCTTTGGATTTTCTACACACATTCAACTCATCTGCAAAAAAATCACTTATTATTTTCCTTTCCAATCCTTATGCTTTTTATTTCTTACCCTTTGAACTAGTTAGCACCTCCAGTAAAATGTTGAACAGAAGTGAGGATAGTAGTCTTCCTAGCTCATTCCTGAACTAAGAGGGAAAGCTTTGAATAATTCACCAGTAAGGCACACCTGGGTGGCTCAGTGGTTGAGCATCTCCCTTCAGCTCAGGGTGTGATCCTGGGGTCCTGGGATCCTCGGATTGAGTCCCACATTGGGCTCCCCACAGGGACCCTGCTTCTCCCTCTGCCTGTGTCTCTGCCTCTCTCTGTGTGTCCCTCATGAATAAATAAATAAAATCTTTTTGTAAACAAATTCTCCAGTAAGTATGATGTTTGCTAAAGGCATAGTTTTGTTGTTGTTGTTGTTGCTATTCTTGAGGGGGGAGGGGCAGAGAGAGTGAAGGGGGAGGGGCAGAGAGAGAAAGAATTTTAAGCAGGCTCCACACACATAGCACAGAGCCTGATGTGTAGGTTGAGATCACGACCTGAATGGAAAGCACAAGTTGAGGGGATCCCTGAGTGGCTCAGCGGTTTAGCGCCTGCCTTTGGCCCAGGGTGCGATCCTAGAGTCCCAGGATTGAGTCCCTCTTGAGCTCCCTGCATGGAGCCTGCTTCTCCCTCTGCCTATGTCTCTGCCTCTCTCTCTCTCTCTCTCTCTCTCATAAATAAATAAATAAATAAATAAATAAAAAGAAATCACAAGTTGAACACTTAACCGACTGAGCCACCCAGGGGCCCCTAAAGGCATAGTTTTTGTTTGTTTCTTTGTGTTTCTTTTTTAAAGATTGTATTTATTTATTCATGAGAGACACACACAGAGAGAGAGAGGGAGAGAGAGAGAGAGAGAGAGGCAGACACACAGGCAGAGGGAGAAGCAGGCTCCATGCAAGGGGCTGGAGCCCAACGTGGGACTTGATCCTAGGTCTTCAGAATCACACCCTGGGCTGAAGGCAGCGCTAAACCACTGAGCCACCCAGGTTGCCCCAAACGGTGACTTTCTAATGCCATTATTTCACCTACGTTCATCAACTGGTAACCTATAAAGACAAGTTTTTTCTTTTCCCTATTTGTTTATTCTTCGAATCAGTGTGGATTCATGAATTCCTACTTTATTCAATGGATTACAATGTTATCATCATTTATTTTCGATATAAAAATTGTATCCAGATTAGCCAGCAGAGGGCTCTTCAAGATGTTTTCTGCCCCTGTTTGAATGTCTCCATCATTCCTTGAACACTTCCTTACTTTTGGCGCAGTAAGATCTTCTAGACATACCTGCCCCAGTCCTGAAGTTAGTCATTTCTCTAAGAGCCCTGGTTCCTTTTGGAGAATAGCATTTAGAAGCCGAGATCTAGAAGCTAGATGTACTCATGTTATTACAGTGTCACAGCTTCGTTATCTTCTGTATGTTTCCGTATCTGATCAACCCCCTGCTGCCCTCCTGCTGCCCCTGCTCCCCACACACTCCATTACATTCCACACACCTCATGCTTATCCTCCTTCTCTGACACCTCACACCAGGTCATTGCTGCTCAGCGACAATCCAAGGCCCGTCTAAATTGGTCTCAAATAATTAATGTCTTTTAAACCAAATTGTGAATGGATAAAGGAAGAAAGGAATCTGGTTATTTTTTGCTTTTCGTTGATGGATTACCTTTTAAAAACTCCCCTCCCCTCAGACTCTTGCCTAGAAGCTGTACATCATTTTAATATTCTTGGATTGTTCCCTATAAATATTTCAACAAATATACAAGTAGCCCTTGTTATCTTAATCTATTTGGGTTCAGAGTTTGAATGGCAAGGGATATCATTATTATGCCAGGCTATTTGGATTTTAAGCTCTAGATGGCTTATAATGACCTTGTGTGAAAATTTATTTAGTTCCTTGAGATCACATAGTGAGACAGGATAGAAAGGGTTACCCATAGGTAAAAGTACTTTTTGGTCAGTTAATATCTGTAACTTCACCCAAATAGATGAGACTGTTAGTGTCCTTAAGTACCATCTTTCCCTGAATCGTCTTTTATTTTATTTACTTATTTTTTAATTTATTCATGAGAGACACACAGAGGCAGAGACATAGGCAGAGGGAGGAGCAGGTTTCTCACAGGGAGCCTGATGTGGGACTCGAGCCCAGAATCCCAGGATCATGCCCTGAGCCAAAGGCAGACGCTCAGCCACTGAGCCACTGAGGCATCCCCTAAATCTTCTTCTAATATTTAAAAATGTTTTATTCTAGTTTACTTTTAAATTTTATACAACTTATATTTGCCAGAAAGTATTTTATGAATATTGCTTGCCGCTTTTATCTCAAGTCTTCCTATTTAGATCCTATCCTTCTTTTTGCTTGAGTATATCCTTGATTGACATTTTCCAAGAAAATGATGAACTTTCTGGGAATGACATCACATGGCTGGGTTCAAAGTCCTCCCTTTCTCCTAATAATGTTGCTTTCTTGCCTCGTGGATACGTGAGGACAGGTGAGAGTTCTTTTGTTAATCTGCTTTTTTTTTTCCTTTGTAAACTTATTTTTTTTTTGTAAACTTATTTTTTTGCCATATATTTGTAGAGTTACCAAACTGTGACATGAAGTACATACTTTATTTCCTCCTTTCTAGGTCTTGCACCTGGAACTCCTACTAAATAGTTGTTGTATCTTTTTCATTAATCCAGAAAATATTTATTATGCATCTACTTCAAGTTAATCACTGTGTTAGATGCTTAATA